ATAAATAAATAAAGAATTCATTGACTTTCTTGCGTCCTGAATATCGATGCTATCAAGTGGAAACACTTTGCATTAATTCAACTGATTTTCAAATTATAATTTTGAGCTGTCATAATGCGCATATGAAGCGTTCGCTCTGCTGCGTTATTCAATTAATATTTATTTTCTTTTTGTTGCAGCTGTAAACATAATGATTGCAGTGTAAATTACCAGCGATTAACGCAACAAACACCCAAATGGCAATGGCCAATGCCAATGTATAAGTATATACATATATATATGTACATATGTATATATTGGATACGTGCACTCTATAAATTATTTGGCCAGCCATTGCCAAACGGCATACAAATGGCTGCCAAAGTACTGTTTGGCTAAAAACACAAACCAGCACAGCAAATAAACATTTGTCATGTTGCATGGCTGCTAAAAACTGGCAACGGGTCCGTTTTATGGACCAACAGCTTCCACTGAAAAGATAATGCAAGGACATGCGAGCGCTGTCATATTTCATACATAGACATATGGAATGCCAAATTGGCCAAAAACGAAACGAAATGAAGCTAAATACACATGGCTAAAACAAATAGCTAGCTTAAAGTTGAAGGTAAGGTTTAACAGCAGCATAAACAACATATCATGTGATTGTTTGTGACGACAAAAAGATATATAGAATATTTATAATATTATATATATATACATATACAGTATTTGTTGGTAAGTTTTTGGTTGTTTCAGTGAGACTAAGTCTATTCATATAGATATGCCAAGCTCATGACAGTGCTGCAACTAACTAAGACAAAAATTACCATATCAACAGCATTGATAACATGTACCCATGAAATTTTTATATATAAGAAAAACAACGAAATCTATTAAATATCTGCCAGTCTATTGCTTTGTCCGTTCGTTAATATGTATGTGTCTATATATACAAATTTAGGGATCTTGCAATCTCATAAAGAAATATCATAAAGTTTTGAAGTTCCATATATAGGTCTTTTCACACAGATCAATTAACGTTAGGGTTTTCCATTTCCATGAAATCGATAGAAATCAAACTCAAACTTCAGTCATTGATACAAAGATAGAAATCGAACTCTAACTTCAGTTATTGATAGACAGATAGAAGTCAAACTCAAAGTTTACCTATTGATAGAGTGTAAACAAACTCAGACTTCGTCTACTGTCTGATATATATTGCTCAGTTGAAGAGCTATAAACTTTATAAACTTTATAAACTTTATAGTATAAAGGCAGAATCTTTAAACTTGTATGCAACTATTTAGATACAACTTTCTCAGCATCTTCTAGTAGCTCGTCCACCTTCCCTTAAATATAAACTAATTTAAATAATATTTCAAATTATTGATCGATTCAAGTCAATATAAACATAATATTTAGCTACATGTCATATATAAGCAGTTGATTGCTATTGCTTTGCCTATGCTAATTGTAGTCCAAAGCAAATGAATATTTTGTACTATGCTATGCCTTTATTTTCAAATATGTGCTATGTGCATTAATTACAGCAAAGTGGTAAGCCTCAGACCTCGTAGTGCTGCTCGCTGCTCGACCGAGTCCAGCCAAATCACATAATCGCCCAGCCAGGCGACAAGCCCGTGAGGCTGAACTAGAGATGAGTGCGTGTCGTGAGTGACAGAGCTACTTGATATAAAACTAGATTGAATATTAAATATATATATATTATATTTAGATCTCTTCTTATACTACGGCATTCTATTCTAATATATTGATATTATTGATATAAAAAATAAATGTCTACTCGATACTCAAGTTAATTCCATATGTAAGATCTTTAATTTGGTAAATTAAATGATACATGAATACATTTTGGAGTTATTTCAATATTCATTTCATGCTCTTCAATAATGTCTCCTCTTTTCCCAAATTTCCAAAGTCAAACCAGTACTCTATAGCACTGCTATCATCAAGTTTTACAAAAATTAGATTCTTCCATGAATTTATTTTCGTTTCACTATAGCAAAATATCATCTGCTCATCTCTAGTTATATTCACGCTTTAATTTTTTAGACATTTTTTTCCCCTTCCATTCCAGCTTACATTCCAGCTTTATAGGGGGAATATTTATCGTGTCACGCTGAAGCAGCGCAGCACGTGCTCATCTCTAGCCATTCAGTTCACGCCGTTGCATGGTTTCGTGCCACACACGTCGCCAGAGGAAATGCAGTGCAAACTTTTGCGCAAATTAACAAATTTTCAAATCTACTCGCACAACAAAAATATGTTCTATTTGCCTATGTCGCAGTTTGTTGCTGTTTATGCTGCTACCTTAATAGGGGGCGGGAGGCTGGGAGTGGTCGGGGCATTGGGCACTCATGCCTGCATGGTCGAATTTTGTGGTCCAGCCGCAAATGCTACAAACAATTGTGTTTTTCTTTAGTAAATAACTCGACACAAGTTCGGACTTTGACACTTTTTTGTTGCATGGAATTGCGGCATGCAAATTTAATTTGCCAACGCCTGCAGGCAAACCGGATCGTTATCGTTTCGTTCCCCAAACTCACACACAAACACACACACACACTCAAAATTTGATTAAATTATACATTTATATACACACACACATACATATTCATTCGAATTTGCAGCATATTAAATCTGAATTTATTTTTTTCTTTTTCTTTTTTGTTTGCATTTTTTAAGTAATTTCTCAGATGTGAATTGCCGCAAATCTCGGGGCTCAGCTAAAGTAATTACATTTGAAATTGGCAAAGTCGAGTCAGCGAAGCAGTTTCTGTTGTTTTTCCCTTTTATCGAAATGGTTATTATGCCACCTTGGATTTATTGGCTCGTTTTTCCAATTGACAGTCAGACACGTCTGCCGTTCATACTTCATTTATATGTTGATGACAAAATTTGCAATGCAATCTTGGCCGCAGGCCTACTGGGAGACGCAACGAGACGCATTTATTGCGTATTTTCTAGCACCAAAACCAAACGTCATCTTAACGTGGCTTACGTTGTCACAGTCAGCCATGTTCAGTCCAAGCAGCAGCTGACTTTAAGAGCTGCCCGAAACGAGCTCCTTTCATAAGCCAACTGACATGCACGTATGCAAAACGCGTGTCTGACAATTGTTTGTGAAGGCAGCTAGAAAAAATATGAAATTAGTTTTTTAGTATTTCTATGTGACTTGAGGAATGCACTGTGAACGGAGGGATAGATGTGGCTATATGTACGTATATATAGGAGGATATTTATATGAAGGCAATGATGAGTAGAGGCAAGAATGCAATACAATTTCATAATATTTTAAAAATTGGTCTGAAAGTTGAACTGTATGCACTTATATAAAAATTGATAAAGTCGTGAAACTTAAAACTGAAGGGAAAGAACTAGGAAACTTCCACACCTATATAATTGAATTTTAATAAATAAAATTCATAAAAATTGAATAAAATACTAAAAATTTAACCAACAAGGAAAACTTGAAGTATAATTGAAAGGTCTTGGAAATTTCCACATTCTCATAATTTAATTTTAATAAATGAATAAATAAATAAAAAAAAATACTAAAAATTTGATTAAGAAGCAAATCTTCGAACTTAATTCTAAGATTTAAAAATTTTCCACAACTACATAATTAATTTTAGTAAATAAATAAAATTAATTTAAAATATGAATAATAATACCAATTTTTATCAGAGTTTCGAGCAAAACTGTTATCCGTCGTGCAATGCATAATCAAATTAATTTAAAATTAAAAAAAAAAAAAACTACATTTATTATATAATAATAAGAGTAAGAGTTAATGAAAAATAATTCAATTTACAAAAGAAAAAATAATAATAATTTGTAGCTTCTAATTTTTGCTGAAAATTATTAAAAAATAAATATATATATAATTAATTAATTTTTTGTTTAAGCTTAATAGTATTAAAGTTATTTTTTTTATAATGTTTTTTAAGTTTTTTTATTTTATTTATTTTTTTTAAATTTTATTCTTACTGCTTTTCAAAATGTTAAATTGCTCCTAATTGTTAGATATCTTCATAGGCTAAAGTGCAAACCTACATATATGGAGTAAATACCCTACATAAAAATGTTGCTGTTAATTGTGCTGACCCACAACTCATTTGCGGCGCTTGTTTGCGCCTCACTGTCCGTGAATATTAAATGCAAAGCACAATTTGTGAAGCGAATGTCATTTGAGATGCTTTTTCATTATCAAAGACAGACAGTGAGACAAAACAAGAGAGTGAGAGAGAGAGACAGGGGGACTATTTTATAGTCAGCCCAAAAGTATGCAATAATTTTTTCTAGCTGCTGTCATAAAGTGCGCTGTTTTGTGCCAAGATTGCGCAATTTCAATGTACTTCAAATAGATTTTTAATAGTCCAACTGACAAACACTAAAGAAAGACAACAAACACACACAAATACACACACACATAAAGAGAGTGTAAATAGAGGAGCATCATTTCATTGGGCTGGCAGTTGTTGCTTTCATGTCAAGCCTTTGTTGACAGTCGAAAACATTTATGCGATTTTCTCGTTAGATGCACAGAGCAAATAAAAATTTATGAAATACACACACAGACACACAGAAAAATGCTTGCAATATACTGCCATAAAGCATTTAGCAAGAGATAAAAACAAATTTGAGTTTTGTGTAGTTTGAGCAAATTTTGCAATTGTCAAAATGAATTAATGTTTAACTGGTAAATTTGCTTTTGTTATCTGTTCGACTATGGAGCACATTTAAGGCCGATTGCATTTTAAATTACCCCAAGTAATTTGCTTGACCAACCACCAGCAGCAGCAGCAACAGCAACAACAACAATAAATGTGGGTAATAAAGTGGCAAATAAATGAAATAAAGCCATTTGCCGACCGGTTTCTTCCGGCTTTTATTACAAAACACACTCCGAACTCCAAATAAAAGCGCATAAACTGCCAAACAATTGAGAATAGCTGAGAACAAGCTCTTTTAAGTGCTTACTGAAGACCAACACTGCAAACTACAATTCAATTTTCCGTTGTTTAAAGTCTTGCAGTAGCAGCTATCCCACAGTCCCACAGACCCCCTGTCCCAGCCCAGTCCCAGCTCCACACACACACATAGCTCATCCAGCACTCACCCAAGAAACTCTGGGCTCTAGGATTACAGGCGAATTGCAAACGTCTTTGCATGTCTCGCATACACACACCCACACATACACACACACACAGACACTCAGCAAACTAATTTTATTGTATACCACATTCATGAGCATTCAGATCGCCTCAGAGTCGCAGTCAAATTCACAATTCACTCCTCACCCAGCTCCTTTTACTCTGGCAATCGTGTGCAAAAATTTCTACAAAAAAATTGTTTAAGTGTTTCGTCTTAAGTGGCCTCATCTAGACCAGTTGAAGGCCCCGCTCAGCCAGCGGCTTTAAGCCAATGAACAGCAGGGCAAATCGAGTAAAATTCTGCACAGCTTTTTAACTTGAAGTATTCTTTTGTTTACATGGCTTAAATAGTGACGGTAAATAAAGGTAATTTAATTTAATTTAAAAATATATTTTTGACACATTTTGCAACACTACATTTCTTTAGAGAAACTTTCAGAATGAAATTGCATGCAGTTGGCAGTTTCTCGAATATTTCAAACAATAAAATCATAGCCGCTCAGTTGTCATAAGAATCAGCAGCTCAAGTAAATTATATCTACTTTGTGGTGTTTTTTCTCTCCTTTTTTTTCTGCAAATAAGTGTCAGACAATATAAAATGCCATACCTTTTTCGCAGTCTCTTCTCGAATCGCTATAATACAAAAGTGAAGAATTTCTATGAGAAATATGAAGGTAAAATAAGAATATACATATATTCAAATAGAATTCCATATCAAGTATTAAACATGTTCAGCTGTGTGTTTGGCTATACCGAACATGGCGCCTATGCCGCGACCGCCCGCCCTGCAGCCTCAGGGCAAGGCCTCGAGCCAAGCCTTCAAAATTGAGCACAAAGGCGCTGTCAAGAAGTTTCACTACGGCAACGGGGAGCCGAGCACCGATTGGCGCGCCGCCGATAATGTGCCCATTGTGGAGCGTCGTCGCATGGAGGAGGCCAGTGACATACAGCTGATGGATCTGGAATTGAATCCGAGTGGGGAGTTCAGCCATACCGTCTGGGAGGTGGAGCTGCCCGGCGAGGAGCTAGACATATTTGCCAATCAACAGCCAGCTAAGAGCGGAGTCACGCGGCTGGGCAGAATCAAGATGTTGACCAAGCTGAAGGGGCGGCGCAAGAAGGCGGACATTGCCAAGCGAGCCGAGCTGCTGGCGCAGAGCAAGCCACCGGCAAAGCCAGTCGAGCGGCCCAAGCCGGAGCTGCCCAAGAAGCCAGCAGATCGACGTCGCCTCAAGCAGCCGGGCGAGCAATTCCTCTGCGGCGATTGCAACAAGAAGTTCGACCACTCATGGATGCTGGTGGCCCACAAACGCACCCACACGGGCGAGAAGCCCTTCGTCTGCCCTGAGCAGAATTGCCAGAAGAGCTTTGCTGATCGGTAAGGCAACTATCATATATGTATGTAAATCTATATCTGTATATATGTACGAATATTTCTTATGTCACAGCTCGAATTTGCGCTCGCATCAGCGCACCATGGGGCATCATTGCTGGAAGTTTCAGTGCGGACAATGCGGCAAATACTTCAGTCAGGAATGCTATCTAAAGCGACATTCCCTGGATGCCTGCCGCAAATATCTGTTATCGGTGAGACTGAAGAAATGATAAGTAAGGGTTAATTGAATGGACTAAAATGTGATATACTTTATAATATATATTATTTATATATTAATATATATAATTAATATTACATATATATTTAGATGTAACATCTACAACATCAAATATAAAAGCTTATCTAAGATTCGTAATGTTTCCCAAACAGATTCATCCATAATATATAATGGACTCTATAAACTATATTAATATTAAAATATGATTTTATCAAGTTTCTATTGTTAATCTAGGTTGGCTGGTGGCCATTTAAAAACCAGAAATTAGACTTTACTTTTCACAAATTTTTTAAGGAGCTGGATTCTGCTCTCAGATAGGTATTTCATCAAGCTAAAAAAAATAGGACAAAATTATAGATAAAATTTTGTATGAAGAATTTAAAGATTAATAATGCTAAATGATAGGAGCTGGACTCTAATATAAAATGAGTATTTCGTCAATCTTAAGTATATGCATAAAAACTTTCTGAGATAAAATGTTGTGTAAAGAAGATAAAGTTTTATAATGATATATCCAGATTAAGTCTCCAAAAATTAATATAACCAGATTAAGCCTCCAAAAGTTTTTCTCAAAAAATTACAAAACTTGACTCTTATATACTTAAATATTTAACCTTGTATGCAGCTTAAAAATGCCACCGCCTCTCAAAAAAAAAAAAAAAATCATAAATTGAAAGATAAGTAACCACGCCTGCGTGATGCTCCTTTGTGACTAACTGTATATACATAATTTAGATATATAGTGAATCCTATCGATACATATCGCATGTTACAGATGATATTCTTAACTCATATTTATAGTAATAGTATTATAAATCATAACTATATTACTCAAACACTCATTTATTTTTAACTTTTATATTTTCAACTTTATTCTTTATCTTATTTCTAAGTATCTATCTTTATACCGATTAATTCCTTATTTGCAATGCCATCTGCCGATAGCCCACAAATTCCTTCATATATTCTGCCATCTGTGGAAGTTGTGCTGCTTTGACACCTACTACAATATCGGCAAGCTGTTTAACATTTCAAAGAGAGTTGGCCAAGTTTTCGAGTGGCAGACACAATGCAATTTCGGCTCGATGCAACTAAATTGGCTCATTAGCAGACAAAGAGCCAATGCCTTGGCCAGCGAGAAGTAGACTTTCAGCCGAATGACCGAACTTTCAAGTGTTTTGCTCTAAATCAAACAAAAATGTGAGGGCGAAACTTTTGGCCATCCTTACACACACCCACACACACACACACATACACATGCACTGTCGCGCACACTTCTTTGGCACAATTAATGATCGGAAGGGAGTTTTTAGTGCTTCGATTGCGGTTAACCTCGGCCGCTGTGTAAACCCCACGCACTTGGCCACAATTTTGACGGCAGCAGCTGCACGGCCAAATGCAACGGTCGAAATGCAAACAGTTCGATGCCTGCTTTGCTACAGGGTCTATGACAATGACAGCAACAACAAGCAGTAAGAAGTTGTTAAGCGATGGTAGGCAAAGGCTTGATGCCCTGTAATTAGATGAAAATTTAGGGATTGAACGCAAATGTTAATGAAGTATAATTAGTTAAGGTGTTTTCATATTTAGAGTATTTTATAGTTAATTTAAAGAGAAGTGATTATGAACAATAACTTAACTAAATAATGTTTTTAAGATAATATAGAAATATAAATAAATAAATGTAAACAGCACTTCTTATAGATTGGACACACTCCACGTTTTCCGCAAATGTTGAATAGTTTCCATATTATTTGAGCTTTAATCCTATAATTTTGTTCTAATAAACTCTACCATATTCTATAAATAAAATATAAATAAATAATAATAATTATGGACTCAAATTAATATTAGCAAATATATAAATATATATATATTTTTTTTTAAGGTTCTCAAAAACATAGCCAAAAGTTGGAACAACAATCAAATGCGAATATCTTGCATCATTTTTCAAAAATAATTGCTAGATTCTTCATTCTTTATTTAAGTTGGCTGCCAAATTGATCTATAATGAATATTATAACTAGAGGAAGATGTATACTCTAATCATTGTAGAAAAAAATTAAAGAGTTAAGCTTGCTTTGTTCTTAAACTAGCTTTAACAAATATCGTAATACAAGAAATGTCTGCTTTTATACGAAAAGTAAAATTTATATTCGTAAAAATTTTTAATATTGGCGAGAAAGCTTCTTCATATATGTATATATAGAGCTGAGTATAGCATCTAATGAGGAACGGAGTATTGTTAGAATGAGCTCAGCAAAGTCTTAAAGATGTATTAGGAAAGCAAAATAACTATTTTAGCACTTAGGGGTTACGCAAAACGTACCAGTACTTTCGTATAAAAAAGTTATAAATTGAAATATTATGCATAGAGTTGACATATATAGTTGATTTACTATCCCAAGCTAAACCTTCTCCAAAGACACAAATCTTTAATGCAAATCAACAATCAATTTATTGATAGTCCACATTTATAAGCAAAAAAATCCAACGAACCCACCGTACTCATTATCTACAGAGTATTTCAAGATGAGACAGCATGGGTAATGCGTTAATTTATGGTCGCAAGATAAACAACGAGCAGACCAAAGCAATTGAACGTGAGCTGGATTCGTTGGTGGGCAATGGAGAGTGGGTGGTGGGCGGTAGGGGGAGGGTAGTGAGCAGGAGGCGACAAATGATTTAAAGGCTTTGGTCAAATATAAAACGTGTGTCCACTAAAACGCAATTACTTAAGAGTCACGACGAACAATGCCATGGCTCGACAAGTAGCCAATGGGCCAATATCTATTGCGGGCAATTGGCCAAAAAAAAAATAATAATAAAATAGAAAACGTTTTTCTTTTCTGTCTTTCCGTTTTGTTATTAAATATTTGATGCTGTCGAGACGCGCGACAGGCGTCACATAATAAAATTGTAAAACACGAAATTTTATTGAGCTGCGAGCGAGCGCACTTAAGTTTGGCAAGAACGTGGCCAAATGGCCGGCAAAGTGAATTTTTATGCCACCCAAAACGCAGCATGCGACACGTTGCATGCAGTAAGCAGCGGCAACTGGGGCAGCAGCCACTGAGCTCTGCAGCTGCGTCTGTGGCACAGCTCAGCTCAATGTTGGCCTGTGCCACGTTGTCAACGTATTTTTAAACTAATTTGCCAACTGGGAGCCTTTCATTTGGCCAAAATATAGCTATCTCTCTCTCTCTCTCTCTCTCTCCTCTCTCTCTGTCGCTTGCTCTCCCTCTGTTTTCGTTTTGGCATGCAGCTAGTTGAGCCGTAAATTATTTTAGCATTTCATTTTAAGGCTCGTAAGCTGGCCGAAGAGTTGCCCAAAAGTTGGCCAATTCAATTCAATTACAATTTGCATTCAAATTTTTTAGATACACCAGAGCGTGTATAAATAATTGAATAGGGGTATTCCCTAATTGCAGTTTATTTTAATATCATTGCAGTGAAACTGATAGCTGCTGAAACGAAGTGCCTAAGTGATTTAGTTAAACTAATGGAGACTTTGAGAAAAAGCTAGAGCAACGCTATCCAAAACGAACTCTTGGCACATTTACTTTGATCAAAAAATATTTTAAAATATATAAATAAAGATCTATATATATTTCGCTAAATAATTCCCATAGTTATACATAAATTGAAGTAATTAAATTATCAAAAATTTACAATAGTATTTATAAGGCCAATGAGCAAAGAGAAACAATGAGGTGCATATATATATATAGCACGACAATAATACAATTTATTAACTGTAAAAGGCTAATTCGTCTTTGCGTTTTGATTTTCTTCGCTAGCTGACATTCTAATAATACAATCGAGTCTCGATAATTTGTACCCTCAAAATCGAAAATTTCGATAAATCAATACAAATTCTATCTCTTTGAAAAAAATTGTTTTTCGATAATTTGAATTTCTGTGCAAATCGAAAAAAAATGATCGCATTGCCATTTCGAATTATCGGGACTCGACTGTATAACATAATAAGATACAAATAATGTCACTATACAAATCCTATACCAAATCTCTTATATTTACCTTCATAGAGAACAATTTTTACCACAGCAGCTTTTTACATTATGAAATCACTTGATTATAAGAGCATTTTATATAATTTGTCATGTAATATAAGTCAGCTGCAATTTGAAAATCATTTTTAAATTGCTTTCCGACTTGATTCACTTCAATGAAATTTAGTCAACTGAATTAAGTCAACTAACGAATAAAACTCCAGTTTGAGTCTTTAATTGCTGTTTACGTCTAATTCAAATTTTAAGTTTACGCTGATAAGCTCGGCACTCTGAAATAGCTCAAGACCTGCATTTGCTGAATCAACCTACAATGTATATTGCTTATATTGGCCTAGTCATACAAAAACTTTAAGTGCTGTTAGCAAAAAAAAAAAATAAAAATAAAAAAATGTATATTAATTTCAATTTTTGTATTATAAACCTAATTTGTTTTTATTTGTTTTAAGTTTTTTTCTGTTTTTCGATGTTTTTTTTTTTAATTTAGGCTGAATCAAATCCAAACTCAAACTTGATTCATTATTGCTATAACCTAGAGCTCTAATGTGCTTTAAGGCTTGGGTTGATTTAAGTGCTGCGAAAGCTTCTCAGCGGCAGCCAAACAAATTGAATTCCTATTCAAAAATATTTAATGAGAACTTTACAACACTTTTTTTTCAATAAAAATAATTTAGTTTATATATTTATGTTTTATATATACACACATATTCATCTATCAACTAAAATCCTGTAAGAATAATAATTTATTTATACTGTCAACCAGCCAGCCACAACCTTCTATCTGCTGTTAGTTGTTGTTGTTGTTGTTGTTGTCGTCTACTAAAATGTCAGCAAAGTTAAAATGTCGAATGCCGTTTATTAGCGCATTTCGTCCTGCAGGTGATGGTTGTTATCAAGAAAGCGCCAAGCGATGCTAAATTTGCGGTTGATGAAAAGAAAACGTCAGCAACGGCGCATTCCGGCGAAAATTTATTACCCACCGAGCAGCTCACGGTACGTGCACACACTTTAAGCTGCAT